GGAAGTTGAAGAAGCAATGACATCCTGAAGGCTGATTTTAGGGCAGCCTATCGAAAGTTTTTAGTCGAACTATTTTAATGGTCAGTTATTTATATGGACGTAAAAGGGGACCGGCCTATTAGCATGCGTGCCGATTATCACTCGGTAATTATTTTTACGGCGCATGCAGCTTGGTGAAACTTGAATAAAGAACATTTTAGCTATAGAAAAACCGTTCACTACTTACCAATGCCCCAATTCAAGTCAAAGGCGGCAAAATATATCACAGAGTAATTATTCCAACTGCGCATGCTAAAGGGCACACATGCTAACCGCTTCACCCCCGTAGTAAAATAGTACCATTGATTGTCGAATAAGTGTTAGTTTTTTTTATCAGAAAAAAAACAAAAAAGGTGAGCCGAACCCAGGCCAGATTTTTTGAGTCAGCTGTACTATCCACTTTATCATTTCGTCTGTGAATGAGCTAGAAGCAAGGGTTTTTGACCAACGGTTTAGTCTCAAAATTTGGCAAAAGTAATTCGCAAAAGCAAAAATTTTGGCACGAGCAGAACGGAGAAAAGGTATAATTCTCGGTTTCTCTGTTGGTTTCTCTACTTTTCAGGTTGGTAGGAATGACACATCTGATTGAAGACTCAGAGCACCGTATCCGAATACCGGTAAGATTTGAATCAATTTGTGAAAATTCAACTCATATTGAGATCATTTGGCTCAATTAAATTCAGGCTTGGCTAAAAAACCGAAACATTTCAGAGAAGTAGACTTCAGTCAAAATCAAACAGCTAAAATTTCCAAAATTCGAAGAAAGCCTATGCTTTTGCAAGTATGGTTTTTCCAGACAATTTTTTAACTCCAAATTGGATTTTTAGGAATAATTTGGTAAGTATCTTTTTTTTCAGTCTAAAAAATATGCCCTGAGTTCACCATAGAACAAAAATATTTCGCTTGCGATCATTTTTTAAAGTTGTATTTATAAACGGCCGATACATCCATTTGTGATGATTAGCATGCAATGTTTTTATGGAGCATCAGTGGCAAGTTAACCAGGCTCTGCAAATGCTCCAAATTTAAATGAGGCAAGCTAATTGATCAAAATAATGTGAATTACATCTTTTTGAGTTTTACGAAAAATTTACATTTAGAAGATTTTAATTTAGTTTTATCATTGTTAAATTGAAATTCTACCACATTTATTTTAAATGGCAGTAGGAAAACTCAAAATTTTGTCCAAAAGTAAGCAAACTTAATCCGTTTAAAGAATAGAATGCCGGCAATAACGAATTCACGTGGTAAAAACCAGTCTTGTCGAAAGTTAGTACAGCTGAGCAAGTGGTCACACTCGGTCAGTGCCATTTTGATAGAAAGATATTTGACTGCGTTTTCTCGATAACTTTTGCCGAATTGTCTGCATTTTTTCTCGCTGAATTGTCTCTTGGCACAGAATCGATTAGCTTGTATCAATTGGCACCGACTTATTACTTGATATCTAATCGACTAGATTGTATTATTGTTCCGACTTTTGTAACGAAAGTAACGGAATATTTGTGCTCGGGGTGGTTTTTTTTTCTTCAGACAAATTTCGAGTTTTTATCCAGCCATTTTTGACGTAAGTTTTTTTATCAATCGAAAGGTATTGTTGTCCTGAGCTCGAATTTGAAAAGATATTTCACCTGTGATCATTTTTTGTAAAGTTACGGGGTTTTAAAGATTGCAATTTTGCGCTATAAACACGTAAGCGGAGATATAATCCGTCATAGAAAACGTTCCAAACGTGCCATAATTGATTTGGTAATAGGAGCAAAATCTATCTTTTTGTATTTAATATGACGTGTGGTGGATGTTTTTAGAAAAAATTTGAATTTTTTTTCAACGTTTAAATTTTTCATGTTATTACTGCTCCATAGACCTTAAAAAGCAACCGGAACACTCAGGGCTTCGCCCTGATACGAGCAGTCTTGTTTCATTTCGGAATGAAATCCATTACTTGTGATATTTGTAGAAGATTTATTCAGACAAAATATTCATTTTGCTCAGTCTTAAACAACTCTACTATGTTTTTTCAGATATTTCAAACTTATTTAACTGAGGATTTGATTGAGCGAGAAAAATATAATACGCTTACAGTAAATCATTGATAAATAATCTGCTCCAAAGTTTGGCAGGTTTGAGAAAAAAGCTTTATATGTCGAGAATCCTTTAAAAACATATAATCTTAAGAACTCAAAAGTAGCTAATCACCGATGAAAAGTATTGCAAAGTTTAATCATGTCCCGATGACATTATGGTTTGAATTTCCTTGGAAACAGTTGCATTATTGCGTTCCCCTTATACAAGT